GGGTTAGGGGTATGTTGCACGAGCCCAAAGCAGTCAGATTGCCTAAGAAGGTCAGTGCCTAACAGTCCTAACTAATGGTGTTACCCTTCTAGTTTCCCAGTGGGTGTTCTGTATGTTCTCCAGCGGTTTCTTGGTATGGAGCTTTGTACTCTGAGGAGTATTAACCTAACAGACCAGTGACTTGAAGTTTTTGTGCTTTGTAAGATGGAGGTGCCCATTTCTGCTATCATCTGGTCTCCATCTGTTTTAGAGAAGAGTCCCCATGTGAAAGACCACAAATACAGAGCAAGTAATAAAAAGAAAAATATATATCAAACTGTTAATACTAGCTGTCCCTATAGGCTTTGCAGGTGATTTTCACTTTCTACCTTGAGTAGTCCTTTAATGTTTGAATTTTGCATGATGAATAGTATAACCATTTTTTAAAAGCTAGAAGTTTAACACTCAGTGATGGACATAGATGCAGGAGTAGATAGAAAAACTTCATTTATTCTGACTCCCAGCCTAGCCCTCTCCTCCCTACCCCAAGGATATAGAAGCTAGCTAAGGACTGTGCTTATGTGGACAGTGGCACAAAAAGCAACCCCACCCACCTTTTAAAAGTGATTTCAGTGGGTCAGTAAATGTCCCAGTCATCGTGGCGACCAAATTTTCAAGAACATCTCCTAGGGGTGATATTGGCCCCATTGACAACCACTGCCCTTTGTGGAGAATAGCGAGGGTCTACACTTGATGTCTGTAGGGACAGAGAGATTTAGAAAACAGAATTTACTGAAATTGTGAACTGATTATATGGAAGAGTTAATGAGTGGAAAGAGTCTGCTATGGTGACCAGGTTTTGTGATTGGGTGCACAATGGATCCATTCACTGTGAAGGGGAATTTAGAAAAATAAGCAGGACTTGGGGATGAGGTTTGAGTTGCCTTGAGGACATCTTTCGGGAGCAGTAGTTAGAAATGTAGGCTGATTGGTCGGGGCTGGAGGTAGATTTCAGGTTGTTGAAAACGTGGGTAGATGAGATCACTCAGAGAATATAGGGTAAGAAGACAGCCAAGATAGAACCTTAAAGGACATCACCATTGGAAAAAAGATGAGTCATTGAGTTAAAGGCAGAAAGAAAGAGCATTTGGAAAGACAGAAAAACAAATGCGTGAAACCTAAGGGGTGTAACAGTGCTAAATGTTCCTGCAAATTCCTTTCATGCAGATTTAGCATGTTATTTCATAAATATTAATTTTAGTTTAAAAGCATGCTAAATTATTCCCCACCCCTGGCCTCCCTCCTCCCAATTTTCAAGTTATATTTCCCCTCTAACTCTTCTTTACCTTTGGGATTCAGGTATACACCACTAATAAACCATCAGGAGCACGCTTACCGCCAGTGTGCGAGATGGTAGGCACGGGTTTCCACAGCCCTCTAAATGCGGACAGTGGCTGGCGTTCTGCCAGTGGCATTGGTAGTTTTGACCCAGCCCAAGGAATCCTACTGAGGTTTATTATGAACCAATTTTTTTTTTGAAGGAATGGGGAAATGAGTATTTGAAAACTAAATGAATTTTTTCAATTATAGTACCTTTTTTTGTCCATTTCCTTCATGAACTCTAGTTATGTCTGAAACATAGTTTAGGCAAAACATAGTTTAAGAAGAAATTTGAATGTACAGAATAGTTGAGTGGCAGTGAAAACCCATATATCCATTTAGATTTAAAAATTAAGATTTTTACCATACTTGCAAGTTTGTGGTACTCTGGCTTAGAGGTAGTTGGCATATTTAGGGAACAGAAAGGACCTCAGCGTGGCTGGACCTCTGTGCGAGCCTCTGTGGGCTGTGCGAGTTGGAGATGGGTAAAGCTATGGTAGGGAATTTGGATTTTACCATAAGGGCAATGAAAAGTTATTGAAGGGCCTTACTCAGTGAACTCTTGCTGTTATTGTTCCCTAGAATTCTCTCAAACACGTATGACAAAGGAAGAAAGTGGGAAATGAGAGTCAGGCAGGTGAAAGGTGTCTTGTAACCATCTTATCCTTTGTTTAACCATTGCTGCTTCCAGCTTTGGCATCTTCATACTCTTGGGATTGTCAGTTCCAAAACTCAGACATGTACCTGGGTGTTTCACATCCTTCAATGAGACAGAACCCTGTGAATAGCTCTGCTTGATGGTGGACCAGGCCCCTTTCAAGGCACCGTCTCCACTCCTGGGAGAAAGCAGTGTGGGCTGGAGAGTTCACTCTCAGTGGTGCCTTTGCTATCATTTGAGCACTGTTGGAAGGTCGTGAGTTGTTCTGTGAAGGGATTCGCTTCTATTGCTTGTAAGGACTGAAGTAAGGAGACTGAAGCTTCATGTTCAACCCTTAAACTAAATTTGTATGTGGTTCCAAATCTTCGTGTGGATTTCAGGTTGTTCTTTATTGTCTCTAAACTTAGTTAGTGATTCTTGAAATCTAGGTTAGTCATCCATATTTTTTTTTAGCTCTGTGTGTGTGTGTGTGTGTGTGTGCACATGCACATGTGTGTAACATTAAATAGCTTTCTTACTTATAGATCATGATCAAAGTTTGCTGGTTTTATTGGCTCTGACTTTGGAGATGAGTAAGATTAGTAAACTGGCAGCCGTACTTTTCTGTGTCATTCAGCCTTCCATGGAAATGTTTTATGAATAGTACTTTTTATGTATTAAGGATAGATTGTTCTATATTATTCATTGATTTCTTTACACTTAGTTTTATGTTTATCAAATTATACATGTGAAATTGAAGGACACAGATAGTTACAAAAAGAGCTTGTAAGAAAAAATACCAGTCCCCCACTCTTCCTGCTCCCCAGAGGTACGCCCTCTTTTGATCAATTGTTTTGGGATCTTTCTCCCCATCTGTAATGAACATGCTTATATGACACATCCATGATTTCACCATATTATAACATTTGCCTCAATAGCTGCTTTTGTTTTCTTTATTAAAGTCAGGAACACGATAAATGCTTAGTAGCTCTGTGCATATGAATCTAACATGTTTACTGAAACTTTTATTTCTTAAAGCATTTCTCAGCCTTTTAGCAATGTTCTAGGCACATGTATTGGCTACCTACTTGGTCATCACTTAGCAGCCATTCATGAATTTTAAACTTTTCTATGTTTTCAGTTAATTATTTAAAAAGTTGGAACGCTGAGTGGCATACATTAGCATAAGCTTAATGCAAAGCAAACTTAGACATAAGAAACAAATTCTAATGCAGAAGTTTTAAGGGGTATTATTTCCTTGTTTTTGACCCCCCAAATCTGTCTTAGTTGTGTTGATCAAGAATTGGTGGATTTGAGGACGTAAATGAAAGAAATAAAAGGATTTGTTTAATTATTGCACTCAGGCTTTAAAGTAAGAACTATATGATATAGTTTTTATTTATACTTTTTTTTTTTTTTTTTTTTTTGGCGGTACGCGGGCCTCTCACTGTTGTGGCCTCTCCCGTTGCGGAGCACAGGCTCCGGACGCACAAGCTCAGTGGCCATGGCTCACGGGCCCAGCCGCTTCGCAGCATGTGGGATCCTCCCGGACCGGGGCACGAACCCGTGTCCCCTGCATTGGCAGGCGGACTCTCAACCACTGCGCCACCAGGGAAGCCCAAAGTATAGTTTTATTAGTTTATATGTTCTGCAGAATCTTGACTGCCCAGTGTATTAATTAAGAGGAATGATTGTGTCATGCTTCCCCTTTCCCTCAACAAAAGCATTTTATATATGTATTCTCTTCTGCAGCTGTACTCTTTTTGCTATGACCAATATTTGGTGTGTGGTAGGACTTTTTTTTTTTTTTCTTTGGTAGGACTTTTTAAAACCCCCTTTGCCCTGGAAAGTCACTTCTTCCACCGTTGAGTCAGAGCTGAAAATATCTCTGTTGCATGGCACCCTAACATTTCCTGCAAAATTCCGTTAAACATTCCCACCTCTTACCCAGCATTGACTTGTAGATCACTGCTATTATTTGTGGAGTACAAACAGGGAAGATTATGTTTTCATAGGACGTATCGTGAGTGTGAATCTACTCTGTTTATAGAGAAGCAGGCTGCATTGCCCCCTACCCTTCTTCAAAAAAAAAAAAAAAAAAAATTTAAATAAATAAATAAAAAGAAAAAAGTAATGGAAAAGAATGATCCAGAATTTGGGTCCCATCTTGCCAGGTAATCAGAGAGAAAAATATAACAGCCACCTGTAGTTGATCCAAACTTCTTGTCGTAGAAAAAATATTTAGAAGTAAATTTAGAACCTGTGTTTGAGGACATTTCCCTTTGGTTAATGAAGATGTGGTTTTAATGTGATCAAAAGAGGATTTATAAGCTGACAGAAGGTGAACTATATAGGTGATATTTGGGTATAGAGATTGGTCAAAACAGATCATATCAAAGCATGTCAAGAAATAACATACTTGTTCATGATTTAGTTGTAAGCTTCTTGTTAGCATTCATTTGCACGTTCTTTTCCCCTAAATGTTTATTTGTAAACAGATATGCAGTTCACTGTATCTCATACTTTAGAGAAAAAGCATTCTAATACTTTCTTCCAGTGAAGCCTTAGGCATAGGTCAAAGGAAGTGTTATGATGCTGTTCAACAGAGATATTTTATGTTGATGGGGGAAAAAAACCAAAGTAGGGTTGAGGTATCTGAGACCCACCTCTCCCCACTTTGGCAGAGGTGGGCAGTGGGTGCCAGGGATGGTTAAATATAGGAGTTTGGAACTCACAGTTTGAAAATCACTCATCTAAGTGATCTATAAGGTTCTTCGGAAAAGTGTTGTCTTTTGGTATCTTATATGAGATTGTTTAATGCCTGTGAGTGTAAATTAGTTTATTTAATGAAAGAAATTGTAACTTCTGACATGTTCCCAAGTTACTTTCATTGCTTATCTTGTTAACTTTGTTTTTTCATGGTGACTTTTTGGAATAGTTGATGTCCTCCTTTTGCATGATGTAATATTGTGGTTTATGTGGTTGAAATGTTGTTTTCTGCTACCTGCAAAATTTTAAGAACTTCCAGAAGTTCATTGTCCCCAGAATTTGTGCAGTGAGTTCCTTCATGGGATATAGTCATATCCAGGCAGAAAAAGTACACGTTGAAACCGTCACTTAAAGAATTTGAGGATCTGATGGGAGATTTGTCCAAGGCTCTGTCCAAGGTTCTCTCCAGCCCTGAGACCATAGGATTGACTGAAGAGGAGGAAGGGTGTACCCACAGGATGCTGAGGAAGCAGCATCAGCATGAACACTGGAAAAGGCGCATCTGGAGAGACCTAGAGAGTGGGTCTGTTGCTAGTGCTTTTTGGCTAAGCTCCTTGCCTAACTTTTTACCTCAGTTTCCTCAACCGTGAAATAGAGATATCTATTAATTGGAGGTATAGTGTGGTGATTAAGGACGCTTTGGATCAAGACAGACCTGAGCTGGTTTTACCCCTTAGTACCTTGAGGCAGTTTCTTAACGTCATTCAACACATTCAACGTTACCTGTAAATGGGAGTAGAATTAATGTCCTCGGGGAATTGTTTGAAAAGATCCCATAGATGATGGATTCAATTGCTTAATAGGGGGCCTGGCAGTGCTAGTTACCCTCCATCGTCAGCACCATCATGTTCCTCCTCAAATGGGTGGTTAGGAGAGCAGGGGATTAAAAAGGTATTTTGAAAAGTACGAAGTATTCTGTAATTTTATTATCATTTCTTATATATTTGTGGGTTTCCTAGTACTGATTTTGAAAGCGATACAAAGTAACTTTCTCAAACACTGTTTTTCTTCTCAGATTAGGGTTTAGAAAGTATGTCTTCTATCCACCTCACTTTTTCTCACTTGTACCATGTGCTGTGTCCCCAGGTGAAGCAGGCAGAGCGCAGTGAGGCGCCGGTCGCTGCCGCCATGCCGTTCCCATTTGGAAAATCTCACAAATCTCCTGCAGACATCGTGAAGAACCTGAAGGAGAGCATGGCCGTGCTGGAAAAGCAAGACATCTCTGACAAAAAAGCGGAAAAGGTGTGTATTTGGCTTTATTTTATATTTTTAATCTTTTGATTAGGAGCAAATGTAAGACAAGTTATGAGGTGATTTCTAAAAATCAGTAAATCCCAATTTGGGTTTATTTGGGGTTTTTAAAATTTAGTCCTAAAGTGGCATTTGCTGGTGCTTAAACACCACGTGTTTTCTCCTGTACTGCCATCTAACAAATACATTTTTGACTTTTTTCTCAGTTTTTCATTTGAGGTTTTCAATTCTATTTAAATTTCGGGTTTTTTTTTTCATTGTTGATGTAGTTTATCTCATTTCTGAAATCAGTGTTTCCACTGGTAGTCCTCTTAGGGAGATAACCTCTCCTGATTTTCTTTTTGTGTTCTCTGTGTCCATGACAAGTATCTTCTTCTACCCAGTCACCACAGTCCAAAACCTGACTTTCATACCAATCTGTCCCCCCCCCCCAAAAAAATCATCTTTCAATAAATAGTATGAACCCCTACTTCCTAAGGGGTTTATGAATTGATCCCGACTTCCATTCCTACTTCACGAAAATCCTCATGACCTTTTTTATGGACCTTAGCAGTAGCCTCTTAAGGGCTCTTTCTGAAATATCTCCCCTGCTTTAAACCTTCAGTTCAGCCTTCTCACATAGCACACGAGACCCTTTGTGACCTGGCCTGTGCTTCTCTAGGTGAATTTCAACCCCTTTCTCCCTTTTTCTGTATGCTCTAACAATCTCAGCTTGTCTCTGTTCATTGAAAGCAATTAATAGCAAACAATTAGCCATACTGTCTTTGTCTTGTTTTCACCCCTGCACCATTTTCCCCTCAGCCCCCATTCATTTTTCAGAACCACCCAATTCATTTCTTTTTCCTGTATGGCTTCCCAGAATATTCGGTCTCCCGGCCTTACCCTTACACTCTAAAATGAATCTACCATTTGGCCACCTCCTTTGGAAATGGCAGGAGTGCTGCCATCTTCAACATGAATTTATTTGTGTCATATTTTTTCTTCCTTACTAGACCTTGAGCTCTTTGACCCATGTGTCATTTCTGGCCCACCTGTGCCCTCCACAGTACCTGTCTCCCATGGGCTGGATGCCTGATGATTCACTGGATGAGTGTTTTGATTGGAACAGGATTTTCCATCCTATCTTTTATTTTAGCAGGTTGTTTTTTGTTTTGAGTTGACACTTAAACTGCTTAATTTCTACCATCTTTTTAAGTCTAAGACTGTGGTTTACCTGTATTCTTATAAAGAAAGGAATTTCGCACTCGTGGGATTAAGATTTGTAATTATAGGCTATTTAGTTGTATCTTTCTGTCATTGGAAGCAATCTACAATTAGTGAAATTTTCTATAATTCAATTTTACTTTAGATCTTCCATGGAAATTCTAGACAGTTTCTTGCGTACCTTAGTAAGAGATGTAGATAAATGTTAATAATATGATGAAACTAACTTCTTTTAAAGATGGCTGTTATGTTATTTTGGTTGAAGTATATGAAGAAAATCTGGCCTCATACAGATGCATAATTGGAAAAGAGAGGAGTATTTTAATAGCCTTTCAGATAATTTTGAATATTTTTTGATACCACAGCAAAATTCAACAGTTGATAGTTTCTTGGTTGTAATAGACTCAAACTGTATAAATGAACTTTTCATACTCAGTACTTTGAAAAGGTCCTTTGTCCATGCATGACTTTGTAACATGCACTGGTCATTTAGAAAATATTGGATCACTGAGTTACATACATCTTCCAAACGTTGACACATTATTCAATATCAAAAATTCACATTTTAAAATATCACCGCTGTGATCTCATCAGAAAAGTATAAATTTTGGAAAGTGGCCAAACTTACTTATGTTGTATTCAAATTTCAAAATTCAAATCTGGCAACAAATACTATTCGTTGGTTGTTTTCCTTAAGGAGACAGGTTCACTTTGTTTATTTTTGAGAAAATGTCTGCCAAGTATACAAGCCGGAATAATTTGTTAGTTTTTCTTTCAAGGAAAAGTGATGTTCCATAAAGAAAATAGTTTGTTCAGCTCATAGCTCAAACATTATCATACAAGTACTTTTCTTCAAGACAAGCAGTCTTCAGTAAGGGGCAGAAGGTGCTTTATGTGTACTTCCTATTTATCACACCAAGTGTTAAAAAGTTGTATGTATACTCAGGTCAAAATTTAATAAAATGAATTTTTTTCCTGCTTTCTCATGACACTCTTAAGTGAAACAGTTTTTTGAAGCTGAGTGCGTGATGATGAAAACTACAACGATAACTACTACAGTTTGTTGTCATTGCCTTGACTCAGGCTAGAGGTCAACACCATCAGTGCAAATGGCAACGGTGGAAAAAGGCAAATTATGTGTTTACATTGATATGAAAGCAGTTTTGACCTCATGGACCCCTTGAAAGGGTCTCAGGGAACCTTTCTGGGTAACACAGAGGTTGAGAATTCTTGCTCTAAACCTAAGCAAGGATAGACCTCCTGCTAAATAAAGCAAAGAAAATTAGTTAAATTTATGAAAAATAAATTTTATTTCAAAGGAAGGGGACAACTCTGAAGATTGAGGAGCAATCAGTGCAAATTACTTATCCTGAAATAGATTAGAAATAGGGAGGAAAACCCTGAACTTTCTGATTTCACTGTCTTATCAAGATTCAGAAGGACATAGCACTAATGCAAATGGTGAAGAGGGAATGAGACCTGAAAACAATGGAGAGATGAAAATATAACCTCTAAATTAAAAACCACGAAAAGCAACTTCGACATCATACTTAAGACTGAAAACTCGAATGTAGTCCCATTAAAACCAGGGTGCTTGCTATGACTTTTTATCTAGAGCTGTTCTGGAAATTCTAGGCAACGCATAAAGAAACAGTTTAGAAATAAAAAACACAGCTATTTAAAATCAAGAGGGGAAATTACAATGTTGAGATATTCATATATCTTTACAAAACACAAGAGAATCAGTGTGAAAATGAGAGTTCACTAGGGCAGCTAAATACAAAATGCATAGCTTCCCTAAATACCATCAAAATGATCTAGAAATTGTAATTTTTTAAAAAAGTATTTTATTTACAGTAGCAACAACAAAAAAATAAGGTGTCTGGGAATACTTTCATCAAGAAGTATGCAGAACCTATATGAAGAGAACTATAAAACCTTATTCAGAGGTACAAAAGAATACTTGGTCCATGTTATTGGATGGAATATAGTTAAGATGCCATTTCTTATCAAATTAATTTTTAAGCTTAAAGCAGTTCCATTCAAATCACAGCAGGATCTTTTTGTACCTTGACAAAAAATGATTCTGAAGTTGTGGAAGAGTTAATAAAGTAGCTACAAAGTTGTGCTGGAATTTAAGGAATATGAATTCCACTTTGTTTTGAAGCAAAACACACATTTCACACATCCACTCACAGTCTTTCCAATCATGGTTAATGATACGCCATCCTTCTAGTTGTTCAGGCCAAAAGTCTTGAGTCACCCATGACTCCTTTCACACTTCCCAGATCCAATTCATGAGCAAATACATCCACTTTATTGCGGGGGGGAAGGGGGGTGTTAAAAAGCCAGACTCTAATGACCGCTTCACCCCGTTTTCTTAGTCACCACCTGGGTCTGAGCTACCATTATCTTTGCTCCGGATTACTGTAGTATTCTTCTAACTGGTCTCCCTTGCCTTTCCACAACCATAGTGATTCTTTCAAAACATGAGTCAAATAATATTTCCCTTAGAGTAAAAGTCAGAATCCTTACAAGGGCTGAACTAAGTTCTACAGGTCAAATCCTGCCTAGGCCTGTTTTTGTAAGGCTCATGAGCTAAGAATGGTTTTTACATTTCTAAAGGGTTGGTTTAAAAAGCAAAGAAGATTATGCAACAGAGACTTTATGTGGCCTATAAAGCTTAAAATATTTCCTGTCTGGTGCTTTTACCAAAAGATAAATGCCCACCCTTGCCCTGGTCAGTCAGGCCCGTGACCTCAATGGTCCCTTCTCCTAGTATTCCCCCCACATTGGCTTGCTTTTCCTTGTGTACTTCAGTCACACTCCTGCCTTATGGCTTTTGCATTGGGCTGTCCCCTTTACCTAGAATGCTCTTTCTCCAACTCTCTGCTTGGCTAACTCCCTTATTGCCTTCAAGTCTTTGCTTAAATGTCACTTTTCACCCAACCCCCTATTTAAAATGCAGCCTAGTACCCAGCATTCCTGTTCCCCCGGTCTTGCTCTGGTTTTCTGTGTATCACTTAACACCTTTAATATACTTAATGATTTTTGTTTGTTTGTTTTTACTAGTTCTTCCCTCTGTTAGAACATAAGCCTTCCAAAGACAGCTCAATAATTATATTTTATTTATTGAAAATGGAATACAGAGTTAACATAGTTCTGTCAAGGTAACTCTTCTAAACTCTTAATTTCTACTGAATAGGATAAAACATGTATTACTGAGAATGTTGTAATAATTTGTATGTTGAGTTTATGACCAGTAAGAGGGTATCCCAGCCAGATATCTTCTGAACTTTATGATGGTGACCAAGTATCACATTCCCTTGTAGTGCTACCACCCACAGAAATAGTGAGATAAATGACCCTTCTCAAGAGATCTACCCTGTTGGTCCTAGTATCTTCCATATAGTTTTGTGTTTATTAATTATCTTCCCCTGTAATTCAGGATGCTTAGTGGACACTTTTCCTGATTGGATGAATAATTATACCCAGTGGATCTGATTAGTGGATAACTCTGAGCACCTAGGCAGGGTTTTGGTGATCTGTTGCAGGATACTGTCCCCAACTTTAAACTTTTAATAACATTTATTGTCACTGATTTATCTGAGGAGAATTAAAAGGTTTAATTAGCAGAGCTTGTGAATGATAAAAATTGGAGAAGGATAGGAAACTC